TTGTATGAGGAAGGCATTGGGGAAATGAGGGTTCAGCTCTGCACAAACTTTCTGTCTGACACTGGACAAGTCAATCTCTCTGTGTCTCAGTTTGCAAAGGCTACAATGGGAATACTAAAGTCTCCTTTGTTCTGCCTCTCTCTGCTCACATCAGACGTCCCTTCTGTTTGTGTGTTGTAGAAAGCCAAGACTCTACAGTACTGCAAAGACAAATAAATTCCACTGAGACTTAGAGGGGGGAAAAATAAAAAGGTAGCACGGCAATAGGTGATGATAAACCTGGGAGATAAATGCCCCAAAAACTGGGGTGTGGGGGTGGGGGTATAGAATACAAGAGAGGCCTTTGCTGGGGGAAGAAGAAATATGGACCAGATTAATCCTACTGTTGCATCCTGGACTCCAGTGGAGTTCCTCGAGGGATGGGTTTAGCCCAAGGAGTTCAGTTTTGTTTGGTTAAAGAAACTTTATGCCAAAGTTTTTAAATAGTCAAATCTGTTCTGAGAACTATGAGAATGTGGGCTGCCTTTCCTGAAACATTGCATGGGACTTGGGATGAACAACTCTTGCTGAAGGCATCAGGAGCCAAGTGATTAAGCCCCATGCAGTGCTCTGACAGGAGGCCTTCTTCTTGCCTACGCATACTTTTTTTAAGTATAGAAAGTATTTCCATATTTCCAGCAGCTGATCTTTATTTGAAGCCAAGAGCTGCATTTTTCAGATTAGAACTGAAGCTTTTCTAGGAAAAGCCACTCTGGAGCAGACCATTGATCCATCTAGCCCAAGACGGTGTCTCCAGCAGAGACCCTGTGCTCTGCTTTGAGAAAGAAATGCTAAATCTCACAGGGCTCTCTCTGGGGATAATTTATTTTTCACTCCAAGAGTTAGAGCTTGGCTTTCACTTCAAAGTCTGTAGGCTTACATTCTTTCCAAAACTCTTGCTTATTTTATTAATCTTTACGGTTCTCTGGAGATGTTTGTTGTTTGCTGATCTCCAACCTGTTCAGGAAGCCCCTTGAGCTGATGACCTCCATGTCCTTCAGCAGTGAGCTCTCCAGGCCAACTGGGGCATTTGTGCAAGGGAAAAACAAATTTTCTCAATTCAAGATTGCTGCTTTTAACGTGGAAGCATGCCTTAAACTTCTCAGTTCACCCATCTGGCTTCTCATTACAGCATCTCATCTAAAACTGTGAGCTGCTTCTGGCACCCAGGGAATCCCTGCTAGGAGATGTTCTGTGCACGTGCAATGCTGTTCTGCCCTGAAATGTGAATCAGCCATGCTGAGGATCCACTCTTAATTCTTCAGTGCTTCCAAGAACACGTTATGCTGTCAGCTGCTCAGGCTGGCATGGTGTGTGTGCTTTCATGGTCCCTGGAGTAGTAAAAGTTTGTGGCCAGTCATAGTGTCCCTGCTCCCTGGATAGCACGCTAAGCCAGGATGTGATGAAAGTGTGAGGAGCTGCAGGGTGACTGGATCACAGCACCAATTCTCTCTGTGCCTCTCTTTCGGTAAAGAGGTGACTGCAGTGCTCGAGTGTCTTGGTCGACCGTGCAGGTAGAAAGCAAGAGGGGGTCTGTTGTGTAGTCTCCCATTTAGGAGGAGGTTAACCAGTAAACCAGTGCATGGACAATGGCAGGATGGCTCAGCTTGACCTTCCTTCATCCCTCTGTCAGTCTGTGTCCATCTGCTGCAGAAGGGCTGTCTGAGAGGAGCAGCAGAGAGGTGTAGGGCAGGCTACAAAGCCTTTGGGGGCTCTGCAGCAAAATGAGACGGTGCTCTGCAGACATGGCCTTGGATCCAGCATGCAAACAAACAAAACAAATGTATTAGAAACAGCTGGGGAAGAGGATGAAAATGAGCATCATTAGGGATATGCTTATAATAACTTATGAACTGGGGAATGCATCATTGCTATGCTGGCCCCTCCTGGAGACAGATTGGCTGTTGCTTTTGGAGTCTTTATTAGAGCCATTGGTTTTCCCATTTATGCATACCTTGCCCCAGCTCTTGCTGGAAACCTGACAGCATGCTCTGAGATGTAGCTTCCAATGCAGGAATTTTGTCAGGAACTGGGGCACTGGCTGTGGGTCATGAGGTGCCACTTGGTTAAGTCCTGTACATTGCTTTAGGCATTGATCTGCCTTTCAGAGTTTCCTTCTTCATCCTGAGGGAAGTTTTGCAGCTCTTTGGACTTTTTGTTTATTCCCTGGTTGTAGGACAGGCTCATTCATTCATCATTTACTTAGGAGTGTGTCTGACCTGTCCTGGGTGATATTGAGAAAGGGGAAAGTACCTGTTGCAGCACTGTCCCCACTCAAATCTTTCCTTGCCTCTCCTGTGCACAGTCGGGATATGAGGGCTGTTACCAGAGAGCCCCTTGCCTGCAGCCTGCCCTGCTACAGCTCAGGAGATGACCATCTTTTAAAGTCATACATTTTTCTCCTGGTCTCCATGTATTTCCTCTGTGAAATTCAGTCCTTCCTTGCAGGAGAGTGTCTGAAACTGGCCTTCAGCCCTCAGTGTAGTGGGTTCTTGCTAAGAAGTCCTTATGGTGTGCTTTACATATACCCACTGGCTTTTTTTTAGCAATGTTCACAAAGATTTCAGTTGTATACTGTCTGCTGCACAGTTGGGTGCCTAAGAATTGACTTTGCCATTTTCCTGACAAATTTAACAAATACTGGGGAAAATTCAGCTTGCACTGACACTGCAGATCCAGCAGCCGGATAAATTTGGGCCAGTACTCCACTTGAGTGTCTTCAAATCCTTGTGATGTGTCTCACACATTGGCTGTTCCCATTTGCTTCATGGTTGGATGAGATGCTTATATACAGAGCTTCTTAAATTCCAAATGGTGCCTGTGGCTGAGCACTTCCTACCTTTGATGTGAGAACTAGCCATAGCCTGGGATCTGAGGGGGTTATTCTTGTTAAGAGGATAAGTTAAGTTAACACAGAGTGCACAAAGTCCTGCTTACTTGAACACAGAAAGAATAGGTTATTCTTGTTAAGAGGATAAGTTAATAATAAGTTAACACAGAGTGCACAAAGTCCTGCTTACTTGAACACAGAAAGAATTCAGCAATTAGGACTCATTTCCCTGGTCCCAAAACACTTTATTGACACAATGCACACTTTAGGCATCCTCTGGGACTATGCTGCAGTGCCTGTTCAAATTGCAGTTACGTTGGTCTTGGCCTTGCATTGAATTACCTCACTCCTTTGAGTGCTAGTTTTCACTAGCTTAAGGCTTAGCTAGTGAGCTTACACATCTCCTGGGGCTGAGTGTGACAGAGGTGACATGTGAGAGCAAGTGGGGACACAGAGAGGTAGCTGTAGCCTTTGGTCAGCAAGATGGGACATATTTACGTGTACAAGACAGCCTTGTTGCACAATCTGACTGTGACTGGCAAAAAACAGTAACTCAACCATATTAATACTTAACACTTGTAGATCAGCTGCGGGTGAAAATGGATGTTTTGGTCTTCATCCTGTCTGTTCCAAATGTCTGCGTGGATTGAACCACTTTGCAGGCTGCATGTTGGCAGCAAGAGATGACAATGTAAAGGGGGAGTTTTTATCCCCAGTCCCACTTTTAGACCCAAACGGTCAGGTACCATCTGCTGTGTTCAGCAAGGAGGGTGTGATGGCTGCAGCAATGTTGCCCTGTTTCTAGAAAACTGCTCTGTGAGAAGACTTTCTTACCCTGGCACCATCTCAGAAGAATGGTGGTTACTGCCTGCCTGTGAAAGGCAGAAAGTGAAAATACAGGGTTTCAAACGTGTTATATTCTTTGGTGAGCTGGGAAAAATCTAAGGCCATATGGAAGATCACTTGTCATGATGGCTGTTATTCACTACCCAGTGATGGATGAGTTATTTTTCAGGGGAACTGCAGAGGTGTCCTTCAAACCCACCTTTTCTGGGACTGGCAGTGTCTAGCTTGCTCTAGATGATTCCTTACTGCTGGTCTTTTGCAGAGCAGAGAGATGCTGCTGGAGCCTGAAACTGTGGGCAGTTCTGTTCCCAAGAGAGTAAAAGACTGTGATTTCTTGGGTGAATATTTAGGCTACATGAAGTAATGTGGCACTTAAGGGAAGGAAAATGGCCTGTGCAGATATGCTTCATGTGTAGTCAAACAGCATGAATTCCCTGAGAACGTGCTGGGGCTTCAAACCACTCGTAAGGAGTGTGTCCTCCCTGTGCACAGCAGAAAGGGGCAAAGGGGAAAAGCCCTTTTTAGGCCAGCCCCTGTGCAAATCTGTCTCAAAGGCTGATGCTAAATGGATGTGTATATGCTGTAATGCTCCTTGCCATGCCTGGATATGTTCAGATCAGTGAAGGAAGAAGGCTCCTGGCTTGCTCTGCAAGATGGGGATCTCCCCAGTGATAGCATTGTGAAAAAGGCAGCAGGGATTAATCTGGTTACTTGGTGGGAAATTGTGGGTACACAGTTTGTGATAATTGGGAGTGGGGCTGTGGCTGAGCCTCATCTCCAGTGGGTGCAGCTGTGAGCAGCAGGTGAGCAGCACTGACAGCAATGAGCCCTGGAGTGCCCAGGGGCACTGGCCAAAAACCAAAGGGAACAGAGGGCACACAGGTGCAGTGCATGAACGTGAGGGATATAAAAGGTTGGGCTAAAGAACAAAAAGATGATTAAAGGTTTCTGAAGTGGTCTGGTGTCACTTTATGGGTTGAAGCCTTCTGAAATTGTGTGATGGTACTTGGTGTATTGTGGCTATCTCAACTGTGATGTATGCTGTGGCTTTCAGAACTTCTGAAGGATAGGGCAATGAACTGATTATCTGTATTTAATTTCTTAAACATAGCTCTATTGATGCTAATATTGTTTGTTCAGCAGCTATTTTAGTCTCTTTGTTGGTGCTTTTATGTAATTTATAGCCTTTCTCCAGTCTGATTTTGAGAAGCAAGACATGTCTGTGAAGCTGGGAGCAAGAACGTGCTCTCATTTAATGTGACTTTCCTGTTTTTCTGTTTTGCAGGTTCTTTTCGAAATGATGGTTTGAAAGCTGCTGATGTCCTTCCTATACTGAAGGAGAAAGTGGCCTTTGTGTCAGGTGAGCACATCTTTCTTTGATCCCTCCAGCCCATCATGACCACTGTCTGCCACATCCTGGTCCTAATGATGCTGCAGAATCTCAAGGGACTGGTTTCATGTTTGAACTTGGTAGTACCTAAATTAGCTCTTCTGTTAGGAAAAGGGCTGTATGTGGACCAGGACTCTCCAGTAATACTCAGAGCAATGAAAACTGGTGCATGTTCATTTTCTTAATATTCTGAGCTAAGGGTAAATGAGCAGCACAGGTAGGATGAAAAGCAGCTGCTTCGCTCCAGCTCAGTTGTGGGTTGTCTCAGTGTGAAGGACAATTCAGGGATCCTGCTTTTGGTTCAAGGTCAGTGAATAGCATTCAATTCCTGTATGTAGGAAGCACTCAGGCCTATAAATCACTCGTGTTCCATTTACAGTCCCAATCAGCTTGCAGTTAAAAGTACCATTGATGCTACATTTACATAATAACTCAGATGCTTAAACTTCTCCTACCATTCTGTACAAAGATTTACAGCCTTCATTCAGAAGACAGATCTCAGGGATCTGGGGGTGGATGAGGACTAGACAATATGGAAGAGGCTTTGAGAATAGCTTGGATGATATTGCTTCTGGTGTGAATTACAACTTGTCAGTGAGAGGGGGAAGAGAAAGTCTGAAGCAATCAGAATCTTGCATGAAGTCACTCAAATTGGCAGCATAAACCCAGGGTATTTCCAGTGGCAGCATTTCTGATGATTACAAACCATTGAGGCTACTTGCAATGAGAACCTCCATCAAGAATAGCCAGCTCCTCTTGTTTGCAGTCTTTGCTTTTTTGTTTCCTTTGTCTCCAGAGTAGTGCTCACTGCAGAAGGGAGGAGGTTGCAGCAAGGCTGTTTGGTGCCTGGACTCTTCCTCCCTGGCTCTCTCCACAGGAGTTGAGCCCCCAGTCCCATAAGGATGAGGTTCATCACTGTGCTGAGCCATGGAGGTGTCATCCAGGCAAGAAAAGCTTTCCCCTCTACTGATAGCTGGTGTGAGATATCTTCCCATATTTGAACAGTTAAATGGCCCACAGATCATAAGTCTAGCTGTGACTTGGAGGAAAAAAATGTGAGGATCTATAAATGCTGACTAAACTTTCATTAATTACATGAAAATCCAGGAGATTTAGGGAAGCTTCTGAAACACCAGAAGTCTTTTGTGAAAACCCAAGACTATCCCAACTGTACTCACATGCAGGAGCACTTTATCTGAAGTCTCATTCTGAATGACCTGACATGTTTTACATGGTTCGCTTTCACTGTGCCGAAGAGGGGAGCAGAACAGCATACCTGCACACTTGTTTGAGACACAAAAGCTGAACTGGGTGCTCTGGGGAAGTGGAGGGGAGGAATTTATGCAGAGACTGTACTGCAATTTAGTTCTTGGCTGCTGCTGTTGCTTTGCATGGAAATGATTGCAGGATCATTTGGTAATTCAATTTATTAATGACAACCTGTCTGAATTGTTTATGTAGCCCCTTCCACTGACAGTGCCTGTGTTCAGCTCTGAGCCAGAGGGTCTCACATCAAATCATCAGCTCGTTAGACACTGTCCTGTGCCAAGCCTGCCTTGCGGAGGGGGGTGTAAAATAAGCAGTGCCAGCACAATCCCCCAGGCTTTCACACCATGATCCGCTGCAGGCAGGGTACAGCTTGCTCCATATAGACTCACCAGCCTCCAGACTTAGATCTGCTCAATATGTGCCGTTCCTGACACAGCTAGAGGTCCTAGGATTTACACCTCCTCTTCATGGTCTCCAAATGCAATGACTACAGGCAACAGTTCCCTTTGCAGGCAGAACACTTTGACTTGCTGGTGTTCACTGCAACAGCCCCAATATCCCCTTTCAGCCTACAGTGTAAGTACTGCCCAATGTTCTCCTGGACTGCTGTAATAAAGCAGATTAAGGAAATGATTTTAACATTTCAGCTGATGACTGGGTTCTTTTTAATTAAAATGGAATGATTTCCTAGAGTATTCTTTGAGCACAGAAGAAAATTTTTGACAAAAAGGAAAAATCAAATACCTGGATTTTCCAAGATCAACAAAAAAAGTTCTGTATAGTTAGCAAAAGATGGAGAGCACGTGTTTTAATCATGCTTCCTTGAGGAACAGGAGAGTTTTATTGAATCTTCTTTGGAGTTCAGTACTACAGTTAATTTTAATGATAACAGTACAGTAAAGTTGTCAAGGGGATTCTCCTTACACCAGCAGAATTTATCAGCACACAAAAAAACTCTCAGCTGAACATGTCAGATACGGAGTTTATTGCTTTTCTCGTCAGCTGTGGCTCACCAGCTTGTTTGTCTGTGATTCAACAGAAAAATTGCAGAGAACACACAAAACCCTTCGGGCAGGGGCTACACTTTGCTTTGTGTTCCAGTGTGGTGGATGCTCCACACCTGGACCCTGCAAAGCAAAAGGGCAGAACAGGCAGGAAAGGCAGAGTGGCTGCTGCCTGCTCCAGAGCAGGCGCAACAGGACCTGCCTGCACAGCCGTGTCATCTCAGAGGAGCACTCAGGCTCTCACAAGTGCACTTAATTTCAGAGTTGACATACAGATCTAACTGTCTGGGCATGGGCATCCAGCCTAAGTGCTGTCTGGGGCTCTGTGCCTGGCACTTCCCCTCAGCTGAGCCGGCAGCGAGCAGCAGGCGCGGGGCTCTTCATCTGCATCCCTGCACCGCAGGAAAGTTGAGGGGTGGTGGATAATATCAGGACTTTTTCCTGGAACTGGTACTTGGTTTCTTCCAGTGATCTCATCTATGAGCTAGACTGAACCTGAACAAAGTTCACATGTGTGTCTAAATAATACCTGAAAATCCCATTCCATAGCTCCTTATGCAGAGCAATGGACTGAGCAGTTGTGGGTGAGGTGCATCCCAGCCATGGATGATTGCTTCCATTGCAGACCTCCTGGAAGCAGATTAAGCAGGGGGCTGGCAGGGGGGAGGCTTTGGCCACCTGCTTGTTGTCTAAACTCTAATAAAATCTTGGCTTTTGCCTGGGTGGTTCAGTGTGTTGCTCCCAGCAATTGAATGGCTTTGGGAACCATTAGGGAATGAGGTACAAGCCAGAGACTGATTTTTGTATTCCGAGAGGGAGATGAAGGCTGAGGAGAAGAAATAAAACAGGTTGTAGATTATTTTAGGTGCTTTTTTCCAGTGAGAGGTGGTGAAATATTTTGGAAACTGGGCTCATAGTCTTTCTTGGGAAACAGACGCTGTTTTAGAAGAGTGGTGTAAATTGGGGCGTTGTTCAGCTGCTTGATTATATTTATGGGAGATTTTCTATTGATCAGAGCAGTATGAAATGAAGCATATGAACTTTTGGGAAAGGGAAGGGAATTTGTTACCATGTTACCATCCCATGCATGGAAATTTTCATGCACTTAGTTTATAAAAAGCTTGGTAGTTGATGGATGTCATGGGTCTTGCTGAAAGCATTTCCCCACATCCCACCCAGAAGAGTTTCTCAGGATCCTTCCCGGTATTTCCGCTCCCTGGAGGGCTCGGAAGAGCGGTGGCGCGTGGGCTCCTGCTGTCACCCAGGTACTGTCTGCTCATCTGCCGAGGCAGGAGTACAAAGGAGGAGGCTGGCCAGGTTTCTGAGAGCGTGGTTGAGCACAGAGGAATCAGCAGCAGAAGGGTGTAATAAGCTGGTGAGCTGCTGCAGCTGTGACAAGCAGAGCTCCCAGCTTGTGTCTGCAAAGCAGGAGGTTTTCCTGTGTGCTTTGGGCACCAAAAGGCACAGAGCAGGGAGAAGTGGATGCATTAACAGCTCAGCCATCTCCATCCTTTGGTAGCCCACTGTCACCAACCCCATATCTCTGGTGGATCCTCATGTTCTGGGTCACAACAACATCTGAACATGACTGAGAGCCTTAAGGAAAAGCAGAGATTTCCTGCCTTAAGGAAAAGCAGAGCCTTAAGGAAAAGCAGAGATTTCCTGAAAGGTCTTTCAGGGAAGGAATTTCAGTGTAAATAGATGTAAAGAAAGGACAGCTTTACAATTAGGTTCCACCAAATTTAGGCCAGCAGGATGAATGAAAGAGGAAAGCTCAGAGAAGACCCTTACCTTCCCAAGGACACCACAGGTCACTTAGTGCCAGAGATACCACATGTGGAGGTGCATATTTTTTCTTTTTCTGCAGTAGCTGCACTTCACTCTTCAGAGAAAGGGTTGAAATAAGACCCCCCCATTGCATCTGGGAACTGAAAGAATTCACATCCTGGTTTCAGGAGGTCACAAATGCTGATTTGTGGACAGTAGAATTTGTATTGGGTTGGGAATAACATTAACCAAGATATCTAATTTTGGGTGATATAAACATTTTGTATTTACACAATAAGTCTTGATTTAAAATAAAAATTTCCATTCTCCTCTTCCTCTGGAACAGAAATTTCAAATGAAACCTCAACAATTCTTCTACATTTTGTTACAGAAAAATATTTTCCTTTTTATACCATTCTCTGGTGTTGTTTGAAATCAACAGAGTTCAAAAAAGGGAAATCTGCTATTAGAAAAACATGGTAATCCCTGACTATTTCTCCATGGTTGTCTCAAATGAGGAAGAGAAAGAGTGTTATCAGGGTGAATCTGTCCTCTCTTTGTTTCTCCTTCTTCTGTTCAGCTTCTAGCCCTGTGCCCTGGGGTATGTCTGCACCACAATCAGCAGTGACTGGCATTGCCATGTGCTGTGGCTTATTGGCTAGTATACATTTAAAATTAAAGAAGTTCACATAAAGTAGTGAAAATGAATTACAAGACACAACAGGTTGTCTCTTCAAATCCATGCAGTGGAACAAATCTATTTGATAGGAAAAGGGATTGCTCAGTGGCTGCTCTGGACATCCCATCTATAGCCTCTGACTTGCTCTGCTGGGAGATCTTCTGGTGGGATCAATTAGCCTTGTTTTTGGAGTTATTAACCCTAAATGTGAGGTCATGAGTGTTTGCCATTAGAATTTGATTTAGGGAATT